TAGTCACGGCACCAATGTCAGATGTTTATAGTTGATTTATATTCAGATTCTTCGTTTAAATCAGTGTATAAATACACGCTAACATGCATATGGGAAAACAACAACAATATTAAAAAAAATGGCGTCTAACTAAAAAAACACTCTTGTGCAAAGAAAACGAGCGGTAGAAAATCCAAGGTCATTTAAAGAGGTGAAAGTTTGGACTCTTTGAGCATAGAGAGTGGAGTAAACGGGAAAGAAGTCCAATTTTGAAACGTTTCGCGGCGGATTTAATGTTTATCAAATTTTCTGAAATTGTGATACATTGCACAAAAGAGTCCAAACATTCACCTCTTTAAATGAACTTGGATTTTCAACCTTTCATTTTTCTTCGGCAAGCGGGTAAAAATGAGGCTTTTACAAACCGTTCTCCTGCTTTTCGAGGTTACTTTTTCGGCTGGTTTTTACTGTTAGATAGTAAGCTAGAAGATACTAAAATCGACAGCGCGCAATCAGTGGAAAATGGGACGCGTAGAAGAAGCGTGCGCCGATGAAGACGGTCTGGTTAGAAGAGTAAAGATTGTCGTAAGTGATCGGCTGTTGAACGAGATCGGGGAGAGAATTCGACCGGTTTCGGTTTTAGAACGACCTATACAAAAGCTGATAGTGTTGATGAAGATCGAAGAAATTGAGGATAACTGAAAGTGACGATTCCCCTTCGAGGAGCCAAATGTGTTAAATTGTTATAGTCTCAATTTAGGGGAGCCATGTAAGTGCGATTGCGAAACGCTCAAATATTTTAGTATGCGAACTAGAACCCAGTCAACGTGCGAACACAAAAAAGGGTAAAAAACCATTGTGTGAACACTACGAACACTGCGAATATTGCGAATCTTGTGTGAACACTGCGAACACTGCGAATATTGCGAATCTTGTGTGGACACTGCGAACATTGCGAATATTGCAAACCTTTGTGAATATTGCGAACACTGCGAACATTGCGAATCTTTAACGTTGTGTCTGTGTAAAACTATATTTATCGAGGTCTTTGTACCGTGTAGTAATGGAGGGATAAATCGGTAAGGCACATTTTATATTTCAGTAAGGTTGCGTTTATGTTAGACTATGATTGCGTGTATTTATAGCATTATCATATTAATTTTGCATTGTAGTTGACGTCAAGCTTTGAACAAATAAACAAAGTCACATTCAGAGTTTGTCAGTTTCGCTAAAAACGATTTCTAATTCCGGATCAAACGACACTACCGGTGCAAGGTCTGAGAAACGAATCAAAATTGAAGTACGAAAAATCGCCATATATTGACTGGAGTTATAGTCAACGATTTCCAGCACTCAGATGGAGTATACGAAACGTATTTTGCACGTTGTATTTGTTTTTATTTTGGCGCCATTTTGAACGCGATCATCGGTGGTTGATCGGAAGGGTCTCGGACGGTCTTCGGATCGGGTTCTAAAGAGACCAAAATGGACGAGGAAAACGAGGTAAATCCTAAAATATTAGATCCAGATGAGAAGACTATCACAGAACAAGAAAAGGGTGATGCTTTACTAAAAACATTAAAAAACTCGAGGGATATCGTTGAGCGTAATTTTCACGATGCGACGAAGGCATGGAGGAAACAAATTAATCACTTGCAAGGCCAGCTTATCAACAATGATGATATTGGCAGCCTACAAAATGAGTGCCGGTCTCTTGAAGGGTGCATGATCAAATTAACTCAGACGCGTTAGAGTCTTCGGTGGAGAAGTTAACCCTATATGGTAAATTCGACGAAATGAGCCGTGAGAACAATAGTGTTTTGAAGCAAGTACATCAAACAATTCGTGACTTAAAGGTGGATTCCAACGACGGCGGTTCAGTAATGTCAAAGAGAACAAATCGAAGTGGGGCATCCCGCAAGTCTGATAGAAGTCTTGCATCGAGAAGAGGCACAAGCTCTTCATTTCGACAAAGACGTCAAGAACTAGAGGAGGAAGCGGCCATATTGAAGGCAAAAATGCATTTGGCAAACGAAAGGGAAGAAGTGGAGAGAACCAATCAACTAGCCTTGGAAGAGATAGAATAGAGAGTGCTAGAGTGCTATTAGAGCCAACTGCCCGCGTGCAATCACACCTCGACAAGTCATTCCGGGTATCGACAACGAGCCTTACGCGCAGCAAACTGATCTTGGTTGGGGCATAATTGGTAATGTGAACGAGCCCTGCCCGTGCGATGAACATGAAGGTGCTACGGCCATCACTCACAGAATAAAAACAAACCTCCCGAACGATAATGATAGAGGTTGCACCTTTGTGGTAAAGGCGGTTGTGAAAGAAGTCATCAATCCTCAACAAGTACGGTTAATGATGGAATCCGACTTCTCGGAAAGAAATAACAAGGAGCCGCCAACGTCGTTAGATGACAAGAAGTTCATCGAGCAGTTAAAACACGGAATACATAAAAGAGACAACGGTCATTACGAAATGCCGTTACCCTTCCGTAAGAAACCCCCCTCCTTACCCAATAATAAATCTCTAGCCTTGCGACGTCTCGAACGACTCAAGGTCCGTCTAGAGAGAGATGCACGATACCGTCAGCATTACAACAACTTCATGAACGAGCTGATCGACAAGGGACATGCTGAGAGAGTTCCCGCTAACGAAGGATCAGACGAAACAAAACCAGTGTGGTATATTCCCCATCATGGGGTATACCACCCCCAAAAACCTGACAAACTTCGCGTAGTTTTCGATTGTAGCGCAAGCTATCTACAAGAGTCGCTGAATAACCACCTATTACAAGGTCCCGACCTAACTAACAGTCTCATTGGAGTGTTATGCAGATTTCGACAGGCTCCTATAGCCTTCTCGTGCGACGTGGAGGGTATGTTCCATCAATTTCATGTCGACGAAGAGCATCGAGACTACCTGAGATTTCTCTGGTTGGAAAGGGGAGACTGCACAACCACCCCAGAAGAATTCAGGATGACGGTTCATTTATTTGGAGCAACATCCTCACCTGGGTGCGCCAATTATGGGTTGAGAAAAATCGCGGACGACAACGCAGAAGAATTCGGATTGGAAGTGGCCAACTTCGTCAAGAAGGACTTTTACGTTGACGATGGACTAAAATCCGTAAAAACAGTGCCTGAAGCGGTGTCTTTGATCCACAACACGAAAGAATTGTTACCTCGAGAAGGTCTTCGCTTGCACAAGTTCGTCTCGAATTCGAAGGAAGTCCTCGAAACCATCGCACTCAAGGAAGACCAAAAACCTCAATTCTACCGACGATCGCCTTCCTGTTGAAAGAACTTTGGGAACGCATTGGTGCATCGAATCAGATTCATTTCAACTCCGAATAACGTTACAAGATCGGCCCCTGACTAGCCTGCAGCGCAGACTATATATTGGGGTATATATAGTCTGCTAATCAGCGGCACAAAGCTTGTATGGTCACATGAATGTTCGAATTATTTCCGGTATTATAATTATGATTATGTATCAGTGTTATGTATATGATTTGCGCGCAAATTGCATAATTATTTGTGACAACATGGTCGCGCTGATATGCGTGCTGTGTTTCTCTGTGCTGGAAAAGAAGTCAGATATAAATCTCGTAATAGGAAAGCGTTCTCCCGACATTGCGGCCGAAGTAGAAGATTTGGATTTCGTTGTCCAACCTGTTTCCAGACATATTTGTCGGCCATGTCTCAGTCTGGTTTCTTAAAGAATCACGCATCGTCAAAAGCTGGCGAATCTTAATCAAAAGCTAAAGGATGACTACCTAGCTAAAGCCCGAGCAAATGGTGTAACAGTGAAGATGAAGCACCCGTCGAAGCGTTCTCTACCAGACGATTTCGACAAAGAGGCAAACACAGAGCAAAGGGAACCTCGAACGCTTGCGCCAGTTTACGTAAGCCCACCGGTAACATCTGTCGAGACACCTCGTTCGACTTTCCACTTGAAAAAAACAACATACAATCCGAATAGCTTCCGAAAAGTGCTCTCCTTCAAGTAAAGATGGTTCGATGAAGGACGCCAAGTTGTTTGTGAAAATAATAAATATTCTGAAATTTTGATTATTTTGCATAATTATAAGCTAACCAATCAAAATGAGTCCCACAATTTCTCGGGAAACCCACGTGACCATACAAGCTTTGTGCCGCTGATTAGCAGACTATATATACCCCAATATATAGTCTGCGTTGCAGGCTAGCCCCTGACACGTCGCAGCATATTATCAACGGTGAGCTCAATATACGACCCGCTTGGCTTTGTTGCACCTCTGTTACTAAAGGGTAAGCAAGAAGAAGAAGGCAGATTGGGACGATCCCATCCCGGATGAGATCAAACGAAGGTGGGAAAAATGGAGAAGTGACCTTCTGCTCTTGAATGACATGAAAGTACGAAGATGCCTAGTGCCAAACGGTTTCGAGGAGACCAAGAAAATCGAGATGCACCATTTCTCCGACGCGAGTACAAGTGGCTATGGGCAGTGTTCATATTTGCGCTTAGTGAACGATGAGGATGAAGTACACTGCGCTTTCGTGATGGGAAAATCTCGGGTCACACCAATGAAACCAATCACAATTCCTTGGCTGGAATTGACAGCTGCTTTGGTGTCCGTTAAGGTGAGCTGTATGTTGCATGACGAGCTCGACTACGATAATGTTGTGGATGTGTTTTGGACAGACAGTAAAGTAGCCCTGGGGTATATCACCAACGACGCCCGTCGTTTTCAAGTGTTCGTAGCTAATAGAGTGCAGCAGATTCGCGATGCCACCTCTGCAGACCAATGGAATTACGTAGAGACAAGGGAGAACCCAGCCGACGACGCATCGAGAGGTCTATCCTCGCTGCAACTTAACGAAACTTCCCGATGGCTTAACGGCCCCGAATTCCTGTGGCAACCGGACTTCCGACCGGCGGAACAAAGGGCTTGGAATCCCATTTCTGACGATCCGGAAGTGAAAAAGGTAAAGTCCTTTATGACCCAAACTATTGACGCGTAGTTCCCACCAATGGCCAGTCGTGTTGATTACTTCTCTTGTTGGCATCGCGCGAAACGAGCTGTTGCAAATTGCCTGAAGCTAAAGGAACGGCTGAAGAATCATCGCACGAAACCGAATCCTGATACTACGACCGAAGAACATCGCAAGCGACTGACAGTAGAACAGCTTCAGCAATCGGAATCAGCAATCCTCAAGATGGTCCAAGAAGAAGCATTCCCCGAAGAAATGAGAATTTTACGCCAAGGGGACACTTCAAACAGAAAGGGAATGAGCGAGTTAAAGGTGTCGTTGAAGAGAGCAAGTTGTCTGTACCGACTGGATCCATTCCTCGATCCTGACGGCGTACTCAGAGTGGGTGGTCGCATAAAACTGTCCAGCCTCCCCTACCACATCAAACATCCGGCTATTCTTCCACGAAAGGGACATGTCACCACACTGATACTACGATACTACCACCAAAGGTTAAATCACCAAGGACGCGGCATGACCTTAAACGAGTTACGACAGAACGGATTTTGGATAATCGGTGGAAGTTCGGCAGTCGGGTATCATATTGCGAATTGTGTCACCTGTCAAAGGCTTCGCGGTGTTGTACAAGAACAGAAAATGGCGGATCTTCCGATAGACAGACTCGAACCTGCACCCCCATTCACGTTCTGCGCGGTGGATTATTCCGGGCCCTGGCATATCAAGGAAGGAAGGAAGGAGCTGAAGCGGTACGGCGTCGTTTTTACTTGCCTGGCATCCCGCGCGATTCACCTAGAAGTTGCTAAAACGCTGGAAACTGATTCATTCATAAACGTACTTCGCTGTTTCCTGGCCAGACGAGGCCCAGTCCGCCAGCTTAGATCTGATCAAGGCACCAACTTAGTCGGGGCTCGTAGAGAGTTAACAGAAGCCTTGAGTAAACTGAAAACTGACGAAGTGCGACAGTTTCTGCTAAAGAAGGAATGCGACTGGTTTGATTTCAAGGTGAACGCACCGAAGGCCAGTCATGCAGGAGGAGTCTGGAAGCGCATGATTCGCACAGTACGCAATGCTCTTGATGGCCTGCTGGAACAGCATGGAACACAACTAGATGAAGAATCATTGAGAACCCTGATCTGTGAAGCTGAAGCAATCGTGAACAGCCGTCCTATCGTTACCGATGGGACTAACAACCATCTGCTCACTATGAAATCAAGGGTATTGATGGCCCCACCAGGAGAATTTCAACGGGCAGACGTCTACTTAGTCAAGAGATGGAAACGCGTGCAATACCTTGCTAATCAGTTCTGGGAAAGGTGGCGGAAGGGATTCCTGCTATCACTTCAAGAAAGACAAAAATGGAATAAATGTCGCAGAAACGTGCAAAGGGGAGATATAGTGTTGTTAAAGGAAGAATCGACAGCGCGCAATCAGTGGAAAATGGGACGCGTAGAAGAAGCGTGCGCCGATGAAGACGGTCTGGTTAGAAGAGTAAAGATTGTCGTAAGTGATCGGCTGTTGAACGAGATCGGGGAGAGAATTCGACCGGTTTCGGTTTTAGAACGACCTATACAAAAGCTGATAGTGTTGATGAAGATCGAAGAAATTGAGGATAACTGAAAGTGACGATTCCCCTTCGAGGAGCCAAATGTGTTAAATTGTTATAGTCTCAATTTAGGGGAGCCATGTAAGTGCGATTGCGAAACGCTCAAATATTTTAGTATGCGAACTAGAACCCAGTCAACGTGCGAACACAAAAAAGGGTAAAAAACCATTGTGTGAACACTACGAACACTGCGAATATTGCGAATCTTGTGTGAACACTGCGAACACTGCGAATATTGCGAATCTTGTGTGGACACTGCGAACATTGCGAATATTGCAAACCTTTGTGAATATTGCGAACACTGCGAACATTGCGAATCTTTAACGTTGTGTCTGTGTAAAACTATATTTATCGAGGTCTTTGTACCGTGTAGTAATGGAGGGATAAATCGGTAAGGCACATTTTATATTTCAGTAAGGTTGCGTTTATGTTAGATTATGATTGCGTGTATTTATAGCATTATCATATTAATTTTGCATTGTAGTTGACGTCAAGCTTTGAACAAATAAACAAAGTCACATTCAGAGTTTGTCAGTTTCGCTAAAAACGATTTCTAATTCCGGGTCAAACGACACTACCGGTGCAAGGTCTGAGAAACGAATCAAAATTGAAGTACGAAAAATCGCCATATATTGACAGGAGTTATAGTGGTGTTAATCCTAAGCATGTCCACCATTTCATTCTAAGGCAAACTGCGACTTGTCTGAGCATAGTAAACCATGAACAGCGAACCATTTGTCTGTCCATTCGCCTAGATTTGCCGGTGGTAGCGTAGGCGATTTGCAAGAAAGAATTTCGACAGGGACGCCGGAAGATTGATAATTGGGGGGGCATATATTCATATATTCAAGTTCACAGACCGTAAAAACAATTGATTTCAAAAGAAACAAATAATGCAGAACTCGAATACATGAATATATGCCCCCCCAATTATCGATGTTCCGGCGTGCCTGAATTTCGAACGAAATGGATAATTTGAGGCAGGACAGACAAATGTGGTTCCGCCGTTCAGTGTTTACCATGCTCAGACGAGCCGCAGTTTGCTTAGAAAGAAATGGTGGAAATGTTGAGGATTAACATCATAAAATATAAATCTTGTTATTAAATCGCTTCGTCTTCTTGTTCAGTTTCTCGCTTTAATTTATTGATTTGCCCAGCCTTGCATGATATCGGTCACGCTAAAATCAACGATGCATTTAATCCATTGCGCGCAATGAAGTATTTGTCACTTTTAGGGGTCGCGCGTTGCTCCCAGTTTGCAATATTTTTCCTGAAACTTTGACAGTCTATTAAAAAGCTTTCCTACTTTTAGACAGCTAAATAATATCTCAATTTCAGCTTCACATTTTCATCAGCGCAAGCCCTCTCAATATCAGTGGAAAGGAACCACCCCCCCCCGGTAACATTATTTTGTTAATGAAAAACCAAACTTGGCCTAGGTATACCAGATAAGATCCATCCATCCATCCATCCATCCATCCATCCATCCATCCATCCATCCATCCATCCATCCATCCATCCATCCATCCATCCATCCATCCATCCATCCATCCATCCATCCATCCATCCATCCATCCATCCATCCATCCATCCATCCATCCATCCATCCATCCATCCATCCATCCATCCATCCATCCATCCATCCATCCATCCATCCATCCATCCATCATCCATCCATCCATCCATCCATCCATCCATCCATCCATCCATCCATCCATCCATCCATCCATCCATCCATCCATCCATCCATCCATCCATCCATCCATCCATCCATCCATCCATCCATCCATCCATCCATCCATCCATCCATCCATCCATCCATCCATCCATCCATCCATCCATCCAACCATCCATCCATCCATCCATCCATCCATCCATCCATCCATCCATCCATCCATCCATCCATCCATCCATCCATCCATCCATCCATCCATCCATCCATCCATCCATCCATCCATCCATCCATCCATCCATCCATCCATCCATCCATCCATCCATCCATCCATCCATCCATCCATCCATCCATCCATCCATCCATCCATCCATCCATCCATCCATCCATCCATCCATCCATCCATCCATCCATCCATCCATCCATCCATCCATCCATCCATCCATCCATCCATCCATCCATCCATCCATCCATCCATCCATCCATCCATCCATCCATCCATCCATCCATCCATCCATCCATCCATCCATCCATCCATCCATCCATCCATCCATCCATCCATCCATCCATCCATCCATCCATCCATCCATCCATCCATCCATCCATCCATCCATCCATCCATCCATCCATCCATCCATCCATCCATCCATCCATCCATCCATCCATCCATCCATCCATCCATCCATCCATCCATCCATCCATCCATCCATCCATCCATCCATCCATCCATCCATCCATCCATCCATCCATCCATCCATCCATCCATCCATCCATCCATCCATCCATCCATCCATCCATCCATCCATCCATCCATCCATCCATCCATCCATCCATCCATCCATCCATCCATCCATCCATCCATCCATCCATCCATCCATCCATCCATCCATCCATCCATCCATCCATCCATCCATCCATCCATCCATCCATCCATCCATCCATCCATCCATCCATCCATCCATCCATCCATCCATCCATCCATCCATCCATCCATCCATCCATCCATCCATCCATCCATCCATCCATCCATCCATCCATCCATCCATCCATCCATCCATCCATCCATCCATCCATCCATCCATCCATCCATCCATCCATCCATCCATCCATCCATCCATCCATCCATCCATCCATCCATCTATCTATCTATCTATCTATCTATCTATGAGGTATGCTGCAATCTCATTGGTTGGCTACTAGACAGATATTTATCAATTATTGTACGAGGTCGAGCAAAATATCGTGATTTGTCGGTTCAATAATTGTTTTATCATTCACCACTTAATTTTCAATTCATTCACCACTCAATTTTCAATTTTGAGTTCGTTTTATCGGACAGTTCGGCAAAGCGAGTCGCCATTGTTTATAAAATTGACATTAATGCGCATGCTCAGAGTATTATTTGCAGCTGAGTATTATTTGCACGCAGTTAACTGCAGGTAAATTAACCAATCAAAATTGAGAATACTATAAAGTGAATGATAATAGCTCATATCTGTCTAGTAGAGAAAGTTGCCGAAAGATTTGGGGAGTTGAGTGAATACAAACCCAAGCTTTAGTTGATAATAGCACACCAAAATGCACCGAAAGGGCGACAAAGTTTGTTTATATAATAAAACAGTTATTCTGCTCACTCTCGTCGTATATGGCCTATCAGCTCATATACGACTCGAGTTCGCAGAATAACTGTTAAATGTATACAAATAATACTATAAAAGTATTACAATTAACAATGACATTTTGGTTTATTTATTTTGGTTTTTTGGACAATCCTGACAAATTTATGGCCTTTCATAATTGGTTTTCTGCATGTTTTCTGTTATATTTCCTGTCATATTATTCGACATAATACAAATTCTTCCATCACAGCTTGTGCACTCACTTTTTTATGTTGGGGATTAGTTTCATTTTCAGTCTCTGTCTCCGTTGTTTCTACTTCCGTTTCTTCTTTAAAAACAGCATCAGATGTTGGCATTTAAACATCTGAAGATGAATCATGATCACTATTCATTTGCTAAAAAGCAGGATTCTGAGGAACCATGGTTGAAGTCGAATGGATATCCTCTACAAGAACTTCTTTACCTAGAAAGATCATTAAATATATCTATTTTTATATTTTTACACAAGGCACATGACATTGGGACAGAAAACTTGCCTGATTTGCCTTCCATTTGCTTTATATGACTTGCAAGTTTATGCTTTGCTGAAAGCCAATTCATACGCAGCTTTCTGATTCTTCATTATCAGTTTTTCACAATTACTGCATTCAACTTTTTCATGATACTAATATACACAAAAAATAGGCTTATAGGGATTTAATATTCATACGAGCAGTGAGCACATGGTCCACTATAATTTGAAAAACGCAAATTCTCACGCTAGCCGAAGTCGACGGCTCTTCCACATTCGAAGGTTCAGATATTTAATGAAAACATACGGCACTTGGTGCTAGTTTTTGTGTTAGGTCTTTTTGTATTACTTGTATTCTTTTTTTTTACGGTAAAGCCATTAAATTAAATTAAACTAAACTAAGCAAAAGTATATGACAGGAAATACAAATAGTCCCAGTCCCAGTCCCCCTAACACCACGGGCTTTTTTCAATAAAATGCAAAATCGCTATGTTTTGATGAAAATATTTCCGAAACTATTTAACTATATCAAAAATGGTAATGGAATTTATAAGTTAACTTTTCAAGTTCTTTTAAGATCCGTAAAGATCCCATAAGTGATATAGGCATTTCTCGCCACTATTTTAGTGTTGGGCAATTGAGGCGAATCGTCCTTCCACAATAATCTCGTGCTTTGAAGAATACCCTGGGCTTGGCGATCTTCAACCGAAGCAACCTTCGTTAAATCGCTCATTGTCAGTCCTGACGTTCTCATTTCCCAAAACGTCTCAACTTGCCGAGTCTCTGGTTGTTGATATCAAGGAAGTTAATCGATAGGTCCTTCCGGTGCACGTCAGTCATCGGCGAGCCACCAGCAACAGTCCATTCTAATCCTTTGCTCATTTGCTCACTTCTAGAATCGGGTCAGAATATGTGGGATCTGCAGCTTGGAGGAGTAGGGGCACTGATTCAAATTCAAAATCTTGAGTCCCAAGCACTGTGGTAACGCTAATTAATTATTTAGTTCCCTTCACATTCAGGCTTCTCTGCCAATTCCACATCGACAATAGTTCCTCGGGTTGTGTTTTCAAGGAGCCCATATGTCGTTACAGAGTTTCCCTCCTTCGTTAGCACCTTTACAGGTACTACATGTAACAGTACATGATTCTCCGTTGGCTGAATCTTTGTTGAATGTGCAGGATGTCTTTGACTGTTCGTTACCGTCTTCTCCAG